GGGAGGGGCTGCGGGGGGCGTGGCCCTAACCGGGCGGCCGGAGGGAGCCAGGGGGAAGGGCATATGGTTGAGGGGTAGGGCTTCCCAGCCGCGTTTCCCTCCAGCCCCCCAAGTTAGAAGAGAAGGGGGGCAGGGGCGTAAGGGCTGGATCAAATCCCACTGCCCCTCTCCTACTCCAGATACAGACGTTACAGGTAAACTAAGTTGAAAATCAAGGGGGAAAGGATCGCCCTAGGTGCCAACTCGCAACCCCGAGGTGTTGGGGTGACCCTGAAGTTGAGCAAGCCCCTGGCTGCGTCTTCCTTGGCTGTGGCTGGCAGAGGCGCGGGCCAGCAGCCGACAGGGCCATCCCTGAGGTCTGCCCTGGGTTGCAGGAGGGCACACAGAGGTGGCGGCAAAGAACTGCCTGTCCCCTTGGCTTAGACAAGAAGCGTGGATGGCGGCCTCCTGGTGCCAGAGTCCTCACCTCCTGGTAGGAGAGGCCGAAGCTGTCACCAGAAAATGGATGAGGAAGCGAGCCCTCAGCTGCAGCAAAGGCACCGTGAGCAGGAGAGGTGAAGAAAATAGTTTACTTCAATGGACTTTTGTAGAAAATACATTCAGGCAGCTACCTCCCCGCAGCTCCAAGCCCAGGACTTAGGTGCCAAAACCCCTGTGGGTGTCGGAGTGCCCTCCAGCCACAGCCTGGACCTTCATAATCCGCAGCCAAGAGCAGGCAAAGCCCCAGCCAAGACATGAAATAGCAACAAGGAGAGAAGGGGCCCAGGCTCGAGGGGGGGCGGGAACCCCAGGGCTGCTCCCAGCTGGAGCCCAGAGGGGAGGAGGCAGGTGGGACCCTGGCTCCCACTGCAGAGCCCACCCACAGGTCCAGTGCCCCTCGGGGCTGGGAGATCTGGATGAGAGATGGCTGTACCCCTTCTAGTCCACCCCTGCCCCCGCCCCCACCGGAAACTGAAGTTCCTCCCAGGGCCTAGATGGATGGGCTGGGTTCCCATGCGCATCTCCCCTGGGCACCTACTGCCCTCACCAGGCCGTCTGCCCAACCTCTTCCCTCTGCCACCCCATTCACCGGGCTGCGTCAGAGCGGGGCCCTTCTGGGGTCACAGAGGAGACACCCGGCCACATGCTCAGCAACTGGCCCAGCTGTGTGCTCCTACCACCCAGGAGGGCTGCCCGGCCCAAAAGAGGAGCCATCCCAGGTTGACTGGGGTAAAGGGCGGCTGCCTTTACCCACCTCCTCCCCTCAGCACAGCCCCCACTTCCTGCAGGGCTGCAGTATCTGCCTTCCCCAGAGCCCCTGCTGTGGGGGGTGCTG